TTGCCTTCATCATCCCTTACCCCTAGAAGTTGATGCGCGAACTAAGTTCCCACTTCTCCATTCTCTGGCCACTGAATAAAGCTTCTGCTGTTTCAGTCCCAGCATTGGTTTCATTACTGGCCATGGGAATTCGAAAGGAAAAAGAACATTCCCTGCCAAGGGAGGGGGCTTCAGCCTGGCTAGGGTCTAAGTGAGGGGTCCATATGACCAATTCAATAACACCACCACTAAAGAGCCTCGGGGGTAAGTTTCTAAAGTGAAAAGGGCCACCTACAGCATGCTAATGATGACTTCCACAGAAGCCATTTATGCAGGCTCAGTTTTGAAGGTTTATCAGAAGTCAGGCTGATACTGGGAAACACCACTTGGATAAAAGGTAAAAAGACACTTAAATATGAGTGGTTTCTAAAATTGAAAAGCTAATTAAACTAAGCCTTTTTTTTTAAGTCAGGAAAGACAAACGCTAGCAGGAAGAATATATTCTTACTTCTCAGCATAATAGGTAGGAATTCCGAGGAATCATTTGGGTTCCTCATTTCAAAAATTTAAAGTCACTCGATGATTTCCAGATAACAGTCATTAGAAACCAACTGTGGATCTCGCTGTGCATTCTAACTCCTTTTCACTCATTTCCTCGTAAAAGTACTGAGTGCTGCCCAAGGTACGACAGCCAGGGAGAACTGGGACATGGCAGCAAAGTTATTTTTCTCATCAGCCCTATTGTTTTCCGAGTGCAACTTGCAGACCATGAGGTTTTTTACAAATGCATATTTTGCAAGATAGCAGAAAATCCTGAATAATGTCTGAGTAAGTAACAGTCGCATCAGACCTTCCAGAAGCTCAACTACCCTCTTCAAGCCCAGGTTTAAACAGGCTAGGCCAGTCTGACTACACGCTCACCAGGGTCAGGAACATATCACTAATCTTGACAGTTTGTCTTTGTAGCACAGTACAGTACCAAATACTCATTCATCACCCTCAGCTTCCCAGACTAACACGCGGTGGTCCAGGTTCATTCCTGAACCTAGATCTGCCAAACGAGAACAAAGGTCCATTACTTGTAACATCTCTGGGTCATAATAGTAGTTCTTTAGCCCAGCCGTTAAGCCTGTCCCACAAAACAAAACCAGGTAACATATGCATCAGTCCTGAGTAAACCCTGGAAATGACTGCTTATGCTCCTCATCACAATTAGTAACAAAAATAATGACAATCACATAATTTTTACATATGTCAAAAAAATAAAATAATTTAAAAACATTTTGGTGAATATATGTATGTATATGCAAGTCTGGGACATTGTGCTGAACACCAGAAATTGATATACTGTAACTGACTGTACTTCAGTAAAATTAATGAATCAATTAATTAATTAAAAACATTTTGGAAGACCTGCAATAGGCATATAAAGGTGCGTAAGGAATGGACTTTCCTAGGCAAGAAAATAGGATATATCAACCTCATATGCAATGCTATGTAAGACAGATGAAAAACAGAACGGTTCTACTTAAAACAGGGTAATACGGGAGCTCTGAACTCCAAGGTGTCCTGTGAATAGCATTCATGGAAGCCTAGGCTCCCACAAGTATAGAGTCTGAAAGCCACGATGAAGGACAACTAGGAGCTCCAGATCTCCGTGTGTTCCCCATCCATATCAGGACAGCAATAACAGCTATTTACAGGCCTTGTGAGGATTAAATGAGTTAATGATTAAAAATTCTTTTTAGTGAGTAGCACATGGTAAGCAGTCAATAAACATTAGCTACTATTATCTTTTTTTATTAAGTAGCTGTCATCATATTGCATATACTGTAAACATAATTATTCATTCAGATTATTTCTCTTCATTAGATAATAAATCTTCTCCATATTATAACATATTCTTCACTGGCATATTTTTAACTTAATGGGCCACAAATGGCACTTTAGCTTTACTTTGATTTGGATTTATATAATAATTAGTGAAGCTAATTATATTTGTACATATTTGTTTACTAACATTGTTATGTCTATTCATGAGCCTTGTTCAAGAATCCAATGGGAATCTCCATGGCTTCTTAAAATTAATGTTGGTTCAAAGTGAAAACAATCTTACCTTCTGGGCGCCCTGTCTTAAGAATGTGCTGGCAAAAGTTTCCAAAACGTAGTTGAGAAAGCCAACCCCTGTGATTGAAATTCTGCCTTTCTGAATGAACTCTGTCCTACGAAAAACAAAAATATACATCTTTGATGTCATTCTACATTTGAATACTTAAATTACAGGGATTTCCAGCAGCGTAATTTCCACTTAGAATCAACACACACAAAAAAAATCCACAGTAACTCAGTAATTGCCTGTTACAACAAAAGGTTTTGTTAAAAGAAGACTTACAGTTTATATAAGTAACAGCCTTATTCAAATTAAAGAATGTTCATTTCAAGTTGCTAAGAAAGTACATTTTAGGGGGGAGGGTATAGCTCAGTGGAAGAGTATATGGTTAGCATGCATGAGGTCATGGGTTCCATCCTCAGTATCTCCATTAAATAAATAATAGTAATAATAAAAACCTAACTACCTCCCCTTATAAAACAAAAAACGAAAGTAGATTTTAAAAGTTCTCACCACACACAAAATAACCGTAACTATGTGAGGTAATGGATGTGTTAACTAACCTTATGGTGGTAATTATTTTGCAATATGTACATATATCAAATCATTACATTGTACACCTTGAACTTACACAATATCACATGCCAATTACATTTCAATAAAGCGGGAAAGAAGAGAAAATATATGGATGCATCATTCTAACTATAAAAACTGCAGAGCATAGAATCTCTAGTCATACCCGACTAATAAGTACGTGATCAAACTGATAGTCAGGATAGTCAATGATGTCTACTTGACCCACAATAAGTAAATTTAACTGATTCTAAGTATATATATATATATATATATATATATATATAGTCTTGTTCCATGCTGCAAAATGTCTTGTTAAAACTGAGTCTGAGACAATTACCAGGGTATGACCTCAGGTAAATTACTTAGATTCTCTTAACTCAGTACCTCACCTGTAAATTGGGAATAATTACAGTTTCTTCCTTTTACAACTACTGTCAGAATTCAGTGAATTAATACATATAACAGAAACACGAACAGTTCCTGACACACCATAAGGAATTTATTAAATGTTAGCCACTATTACTAAAGAGAGACAGACAGAGACAGAGACAGGAAATAACCCTGAAATGACTTCTTCAATCCTTGATCAGAAAGGGAGGTGAGGCAGATTATATGTGTCATTAAACTATTTAAAGTTCTACCAATATTAATTATCTCCATTTCACAAAACAGATTTGAATAACACTTGAGAATGATGTAGAAAGATGGCAGAATAGGAAGCCTCACGCCCTCATTCCTCCATGGAGACCCCAACTTAACAACAACATATGGACAAGGTTGCCTTTGGGAGAAGTCCATAAACCAGTTAAGAGACTGCAGCACCCCAGGGAAGTAAAAGCAGAGCCACATCAAAGTGAATAGGAAAGTCTGTTGCCATAGCCCCTATCCACCCAGCAAATGGAGGCAAAGCCCTCCACCAGAGAAAAACCACAGGAACTCAGGCAGGAAGATGTGAAGGAACAGAGCCACATGTTGCCTGAAAATGCCCAAAATTAAGTTAGGGGCTTGGTAAAATTTTTCCCTTAAAAATGACCAGAGCATAATGTGGGTGTGGGAGATGTTAGGAGATAAGGCTGGAAGGACAGATGGAGACCAGACTACAAATGGTCTTCCCAGGGTGAGGAGTTTAGACTTTATCATGAAGGCAAGGACTTCTCATCTAAGGCGACCGCGTAACAGGTACAAATTAACAATTACATGTGCATCATTGACTAAAAGGTTTGTTGCCATTCTTCGGGGGAGGGTATAGCTCAGTGGTAGAGTGCATGGTTAGCAATGCACAAGGTCCTGGGTTCAATCCCCAGTACCTTCACTAAAAAATAAAATAGAATTTAAAATTAATTTAAAAATACACAAAGAAACCTACCTACCTCCCCCCGCCAAAACAAAAACAGAAAAAGGCTTGTTGCCATTCCTTAATACTTCTAGACAACCTCTTATCCCCCATTTTCAGAACAGTGTTTACACTCAATGACTTCAATGAGTATTTGTTAAATGAATGAATTAATTAATATCAAGTTTCTTTACAATCAAAAATATCCAACAACAACAAAAACTTTCCCCCTACCTTCTTACATTTCTATGGAAAAGAAAAGGGAACCACATCTCCCATATGTGTGTTTGGGTGTATGTGTACATGTATATACAAGCACACTCACCAACACTACAAAATATATTGAGAAAACTATGAAACCAGAAAGCTGTGATTTTGGTAAAAAGAGTTATTACAGCCTCTTACTTACACATGCTCTCTAATGCTCTAACACCAGTAGTCTCCACATTTAGGTCATGTACACAGTAAAAGGAAGCCTTCAGAACACCTCTCTCTCTCCCTCCTCATCTCTTCCCTTCTTCCTCCTTCTCTCTCACTCTCTCTCTCTCTCTCACACACACACACTCACACACTCACACACTCACACACAGAGTTATCCTAGCCAATGTGGCATAAATAGTCTAGGCAAACAGTCAGTCTAGGAAAAGCAGCTTCCACCTCTTAGATTTAAGCCTATTTAAAATGATTTGCTCATGTAAGACTATATCCTAGTGACACTAATCTTTCCTGTCTTTGTTCCAGATTAGTCAGAGTGGAATTTTACAGTGATTTTAATATTTAGAAATGAAAAGTTGAGCAGTCTCACACCCTTGGGAGAGATGCACTCTTCAGTCCTCAAGGCAAATGTAGGTGAGGGATTAATAAAAGTCTCGCTTACTTCATACTCTTAACGAATATTTCCTTTTGCCACATTTGGGAGAAGTAAGTGCTCAGAATAGCACTCTCAGGCTTTGCCCACATATCAGAGAATAGCAGGGCAGGAAGGCAGGGTCATGCCCTTGCCATGAATGAGATGAGAGTGTATCCTATTATATTTTAAGGCTGCCAGATGAAGGAAATGCTGTACTTTCTCTCAATAACTCCTTGGCAAAGCACATCAGACAGTTTCTTCTTAATACACATAGCTAACCTAAATCCCTTAGGCTAGATAAGCCTTCACTTAAGTTCCTGTGCAAAACACAGCAGCTTACACAATGATATATGGTTCAATTTCAACTTTTTAAAAAAAAGAAAGAGAGAGAAAAAGGTAAGATGGATGGATGGACAGATGGACAAATGGACAGAGCTGAAATACAAACAGACCCCCTGGGTATTTGAATTATAGGTGTTAATTATTTATTTTCTTCTTCTTTTACTAATGTTCTGAAATAAATATGTGCCACTTGGTAATCACCAAAAAAAATACAAATATATCCTTGAGGGTCATTTTTATATAAATAAAAAGTTATTCTTTAAAAGGTTCTGTGCTACCAACAACCATTTTCAGCAAAGGTACAAGCTAACTTCTGCCTTTCATTTAAAGTCCCATTAAATCACCTCTTGGCTTTCCTTTTCCCACACGATGTAACTCCAGTTCTTTGTGCCTTCTGTCCTAAGACTTTCTCCTGCCCCCAAGCTTTAAGTGTTCCATGTTCCACTCAAAAGAGATAAAGATGATTCAAGTTTTCCTATATCTGTCTTATCTGTTAAGCCTAAAGGTATGATTGCATCCATTTATGATATTATACACTCAGGGTCACATTTACTCTTCAAAAAGCTGTACAGTAGGCACATGAAAAGA